GGAACACACCTAGTCCGGAGTCCATTGTATGCATCATCATTTCCAAAGTTGAACTGTGGACGTGGTACATTCCGAAACGTTTCACTGAGGATGCCGGCGAAATGTTTGGGAATGTACCACGTCCACAATTCAACTTTGGAAATGATGATGCATACAATGGACTCCGGACTAGATGCGTTCCTCTGAGTCTTCCTACCAATGTGACCATGTTGCAAAAACAAGGTCAAACAACCTCCATAAAAATGAAAGTTGCCGATGTGTCAACACGCTGCAAAAGCCCAGTCAGGACCATCCCACCAGACGGAGTTGCCAAGACGCCTGTGGAGCCGGTCTTCTACACGATTCGCGGGGCACCCTGACTACGTTGTACGCCTTGAGTACACTCATCAAGACTGCCAGTCCGGACCGCAGGCAGAGGAGGAGCAGAGAAAGGTAGTGTTTTTTTCCCGGCAAACCAAGTCGGGCAGCCTGAGGCAGAAAACTACCAATTGCAAGGTTTGTCTCCCTCTCACCTCGGACAGACGCACTCCTCCTCCTCCTCCTCATGCATTCTTGGTTTGGCGTTTGGACATGGAGTGAGCAGGGTCCTGTCGAAATGGGCAGAGTTGTGGTAGGCTAAAGAGGAAATAGAATCACACGCCTTGCACATGAAACCGTTTATGCGCAGGGCTGTAGGTTTGACCAAAAACGAGGACAACTTGGGACGAATTGCTCCAACCACCCGACCAGATGGCTTGACAATGAAACAATAATTCCCTATTTTGGATCAGCAAGAGTTGATCAAATGCAAGCGGTCGTCAAATCGTGAGGCGGATCATGCAAAATCACGCCTTAAAGGCCACGGATACGGTAGCAGTGGCTGAGTGAAATGAGTAGACCAGAGCGATAGGAAACGGACTCTGGTAGGACTTGGATGAAGCAGAGTGTAGACTGAATAGGCCAAGTCGAATCGACCATTCCGGTAGAACGGGTGGGGTGGAGAGGAGAAGTTCACAGAGTGTGAGTAGACCTCAGTGGACCCGCTCGAGGGGACACATCTGCGGAGTAGGGGAAACTAAAAAGACCACAATATGTGCTATAGAGCGAGTGAGATTCGTTGGCAGGGCATAGGCGGATGGACCAGGACGGAAGCTGGACAGATAGCACAACCGAGAAGGGGACAGTTGGGCAAGGGATGGACGCCACTCGTCTTTGTGACCAAGTCTCCCCCTGACAACATGACCATAAGGTCAAACCAATTTTCCTAATTTTTTTCCGGTAATGGTTTATCAAATAGATATGAGCGATCCTATAAGAATGCCATTGCCGATCTGTCTAAAGACTCGGCCCACGACCAAACAGGAAGCAAGCAAACCTGATCTTTCACACTTCATTTGGATTTAAGGAGACTGTCAGTGGATCTTGAAGTAAGCGAGTGAGATTCCCACTTCATCAATTCTAAACCCGGGTCTCTCCCGCATTGTCGCAGAGCAAATATGATGTACAAATGAATTAATGCAGGAGAGACAAACATATGCAATGTGTTTACTCTGTTCCGTTTACGAGAGTGAATGGATGGTAGCTGAATTTACCCAAAATCGGATGTGGGTTAACACATCCCATATATCTGACTTACTGGAAGTCTCAAAGGCCATAGCAAATGCCACCATGTGACCTGTGACCCGAGGACACTAGTGACAATGTGAACTTGCGTGTAAGCGTGCAGACTACTCATCAGATTGTGGGCAAAACATTCAGGCAAAAGTGAATCGGGTGAGAGCACTCGATGTATCCATTCAGCCGCATTTGGGCTCACCTGTTTCTGCAGTTGCAGCATCGCCTTGGCCACCTCTTCGTTGGTGAGGCAAAAGGTGCTGTCGCCGGGGCCCGGCAGAAGCGCTGGCTCGCCGTCGCCACTCGCCTTCTGCTCGCCGGCGTGGGGGCCCGCCAGTGCCCGGCATTGTTGCTGGGCTTGGTGATGCTGCGCGTCGAGGGGCTCTTCGTCGGGCGATCTTGCCGCCTGGGGGGGCGGACGTTTGGGCAGAAACTCCTGAATCACGTCGCGCAGGAGGCGGGTCCGCTCGAAAAAGTGAATGCAACCGTCTGTGGTGTAGTTGGAGAGACGGAGTTCGGCGGCCACCTCGAGGGGGTCGAAGATGAAGCGGCAGGCCGACATGACCTCCTCGATTTGCCGTTGCATCCGCGGCAGGAGGAGCTCGAGGGCGATGGGCAGACGAATGGAGACGAGCGAGTCGCGGCTCGCACCCTCGGCCCGGGGCAGCCAAGTCGCGGGCACGCGGGCGCGGTGCTCGAGGCGGGACTCGAGCTGGCGGCACTGGAAGACGTGGATCGAGGCCCGGTTCGGCTGGCGCCGGATCTCGTCGTAGTACTCGTCTTCACGACGCGCCTCGCGCCCCTCCGGCCCGAGGCAACCGCCGGCCGGGCAGGGCGGCTGTGCGAAGCACCAATCGAAACAGGAGGCCCGGGAGCCGGTGTTCGGGCGGGGCGAGGTGTTGGGCCGCCGCGGCTCCGAGCGCTGCAGCACGACGGCTCCGAGGCCCGGCGAGGTTTGCGTGAACTGCGAGGCCGACCGGCTCACCAGCGACGGGTGCGGCGAGTTGAGGAGGATCGAGGTGGTCTCGGTGTTGGCCAAAGTGCTGGCGCTGGGCGGCCCGTCGAGCAGCGTCTTGTCGGTACACGCCTCGGGCGTCTCCTCGAAGAAGCAGGCCCCACGGTCGCCACCCGCCAAATCGGGCCCGGGCCCGGACTCGCCAGAGGGTCGTCGGTGTCGACGGCACAGATACACGCGATCCCCCTTCCGGTTGACCCGACAACGAGGACAGGCCGGCCCGAGGCCGGACGCCACCGGCAGGGCCTTGGCGACGGCGGCGGCCGCCAGGAGCGAGGAGGAGGAGGAGGACGAGGCCAGGTTGCGGACGTAACTGTCGCAGACGTTGGCGTACTCGCAGTAGAGCCGGTTGAAGGAGGCGACGAGGCGGAGGATGCAGCTGCTCTTGCGCCGATTGGCCGAGCCGGAGGGCAACCACTTGCTCGCCTCCTCCTCAGACAGGCCGAACTGCGTCTTCACCTGCCGCAGGTGGCAGCAAATTCGCACGTACAGACTCCAATCCTGAGAGGAGACGAACGAGGTGGGCGGCTTCTTGAAGAAGATCGGGCAGGCGGCACCAACCGCCTCGACGCCCGTCTCTGGCACCATCGCCGTCGCCGTCGCCGTCGCCGACAACTTGGCCTCGCCGTTGGTCGTTTGAGTCGCCATCTCGCCGGCGGCCGGCGCAA